CGAGAAATCACCCCCGCCCCAGGGGGGATGGCCACACCACAATCCCTTCTCTTCCAGTCTCCTCTCAGGATCTTGGGCACCCACACACATGCGCTCGGCATGAGTTTAAGCCTCAGGATCTGGGGATCGAACCGCGGTCAACGATATGGGAGTTCAGCGACATAGCCATTACGCTAATTGCTGGTCCCATATTTAGTAAACTTTCTTCCTCCTAATAATTTATAATCAAACAGAAATCTAAGTTTACACTGTTTTCTAGTCTTTTTTTTTTTTTTCAAAATATTTCTTGTAGCAAAAATGTCCTAAAACTTTTTTTTTTTCTGAGAAGTTTTTTCACTATAGGGCACGTGTGCTTGCCAGACAGAGAGAGACGTAGAGACAGAAAGCGAGAAATCACCCCCCAGGGGGGATGGCCATGCCACAATCCCTTCTCCTCCATTCTCCTCTTGGGATCTTGGGCATGCACGCACACACGCCCGGCGTGAGTTTTAAGCCACTGGGTCCAGGACGCAAACCACGGTCGACTACGTGGGAGTTCAGCAACATAGCCATTACGCTAACTGCTGGTTCCCCCTAGAACTTTTTGAAGTGTCGCCTGCAAAATTATTTTATTTGGATTGTTTTTAAGAATTATTTATTAACTTTATTTTTATTATTATCATTATTATTATTATAGTCAGAGAGAGGAGGGAAGTGAGAAAGCAAACTGTTAGGGCCAGGACTCAAATCGCTGTCGGCCAAGTGGGAATCCAGCATCCCAACCACTGTGCTACCTGCGGGTCCCTATTTGGATTATTTTGTATGTTTTTCCAAATACTCTGCTCTATCTGGGAGGTATATTAACATCAATAGATATCACAAGTATCATAGCTCTTAAGCTACTAATTTCAACACCTTCAAGTTGTCTGTATTGAAACTATATTAAGTACTTTCCCGAGCTCTTGAATTGTGATTTAGAAACTGAGGAGCTGGTTTCAGCTGTGCCGTGCCACCCTGCTTGTGAGACAGAGCAGCATGCAATGGTGCAAGTCTGACCCGTGGTTTCTGTTTGCACACACACAATAGCTGACTGGGAATGCCTTTCTCCTGGAAATTTAGTTGTTTGCTGGAAACTGAGCTTTTGAATTTTAGTTTCTTTGTCTTCCTCACTTGAAAAATATCTAAATGATGTTGCCCAAAAGGCCCACAGAGAAACAGCCTGACTGACTTTCGGGAAATTAGTAAGCACTGGGGGTTATTTTTAGTATCTACTCCTTCCAAATATTTCCTTTTGTTCTTCAGAAGACATTGTTGGTCTGTTCATTCATTTGTTGTGTTCTCGCCCCCACTGCAAAACTGCCCTTGGGTAGAATAAGCCTTCTTTTCTCTGCTCTGAGTGACATAACTCTGTTGATTCTTGTTTTATTTAATTTTAACTCTAACTCATGATTTATTCATTTGTTCATGTTTTTTTTCTGATTAATGAACACGCTTACACAGTTCCAGTTACACTTTTTCATTGTTATTGGTTAGTTGATTTTTCCACCTATCTGTATGAATTTGAGAAATCTTCACAGAAGCAGAATATACAACATTTATGTTTTTATCAGTGTATCGTGTGGCGGTAGCTGATAATGTGATTTTGCCTTTATTTGCTTTAACAGTACCTTAAAAAAATATTTAGGAAAGTATGCAGTTAGTATTACAGAATTCCAAATTCTGGATAGGTGATTTAAAAGGCTGGCCTTTAAACATCAGCCTTAGGTTTGATCTTTGAAAAATCTTCCAGAAGATAAAGGTCAAATTTCTACAGAAGAGCATGGAACTCTTACTTTAATTTTTCATATAAGAGGAGTTAGACATAAGGCTTTCCTATTTTAGATCCCTTTTAAGAAGATTTAGTTATTTTGTACTTTTTTTTTTTTTGAGAGAGATTTTCACTGTAGGGCGCATGCGCTCGCCAGATAGACAGAGAGAGACATAGAGACAGAAAGCGAGAAATCACCCCCCAGGGGGGATGGTCACGCCGCGATCCCTTCTCCTCCATTCTCCTCTCGGGATCTTGGGCACGCACGCACACGCGCCTGGCGTGAGTTTTAAGCCACCAGGTCCGGGACACGAACCGCGGTCGACTACGTGGGAGTCCAGCGACATAGCCATTACGCTAACTGCTGGTTCCTGTTATTTTGTACTTGTAACTCCTTTTTTCATCTTTCTGTAAGTTGGAGAACAACTGTAGCCTTTAAGGTTAGGATTGTGGGTCGAAGATCCGACCACCTGGGTTTCAAGTAGGTTTCGTAGTCCCACTGTTGACCTCTTAGTCCTGTCATTAATCTCTGTATGCCTGAGTTTTCCTATCTCAAAGTGAAGTTAATGGTCCTTGCTTCATGTAGTGGTTTGGGGGTTTAAATCAGATAATCCATGTAGAGCCTAGCATAATGCCTGACACAGTGAAGTCTCAATAGATAATGGCTATGTTAATTAGTGTGTTTGATTGTTTTTCCTATAATGTACAATGTAATCTTGGAATATTATGCATCCAAATGAGGCAAAAGAGTTCATTTCTGGGGCTCCTTGTCTCTTTCTGTGTAAGCATTTGGGGGATGCCCTACACAGAGATGGTCTAATTCCAACACCTAGTGAATTTGGTTTGCCTTAGCCCTGCAGTAGTTGTAGCTCCGCTCATCAGGGTCAGCTCAATTATAGTGGGAAGCGAAGCAAAACTTCATTTGCACAGAGAGGGAGGCAGAGTGTGCAACGGCACTGACATCTGTGCCTCTGCCCTGGGCCAGAAGCAGAATGGCTGTTCGCTGCTGATTCGGCATCCCATCTGCTGCCTTCTCCCCTGGTGAAGTCCCTCTTCCTTTCCCCCTCCCATTAGAGCCCTGGGGAGGATGAAGTCAGAGAGAGAAGGTAAGAATGTGAAGCATCTGAAGAGGAAACAGGAGGGAGGTTCAGGGAAAGACAACAGAAGGATGACCCCCATTCTGCAGATGACCCAGTACAGTCAATGCTAATTCCAACCTGCCAGTGGCAGTTTCACAGACGTCCTGTGGACTGCATGGAGGTTAGAAACACTAGCTCATTCTAATGAATCTCCCGTTTCTGCTCAAGAATTTTTCTGACATCTGACTCAAGAATTTACTCACCTTTGTTTTTTTAAACTCTTTTTAAACATTTTTTAATCTTACCCCAGAATAAGTACTTCAACTTTACTAGGGTGCTTTAACTTTTTATATAGCCTTTGTTTCTCTGTTTTTTGTTGTTGTTGTTTTTGTTTTTTGGAGAGGTTTTTGCTTTAGGGCATGTCTGCGCTTGCCAGAGAGACAGAAAGTGAGAAATCACCACCCAGGAGGGATGGCCATTCTCCTCTCAGGATCTTGGGCACACAAGTGCCTGGTGGCTTAACCCAGCGTGAGTCTAAGTCTGGGACTAGAACCACAGTTGACTACATGGGAGTCCAGCGACATAGCCATCATGCCAACTGCTGGTCCCTGTTTTTATTTTCTTTTAAGAGAGTGCATGTGCTCATGAGAGAGAGAGAAAGTGAGAAAGCCCCCATTTAAGGGGTGGTCATGCCAAAATCCTTCTCTGTTCCTTCCTCCTTTTGGGATTTCAGACATGCGCAAGTTCCCTGCATATCCACGTCCAGGACTCAACTGCACAGTCTGCCACGTGGGCTCCAGCTACCCCAACCACTGCACCACCAGGCTGGCCCTTTCTCATTTTTTATATATAGCATTTAACTTACCCCATTTGCCACCTAATTTACAGACCTAACTTCCACTGAAGTAGTTTCTTATTTTAAGTTAACATCTTCTACCCAACTGAGAGGCACAACACAGACTTAGAACTATTATTTAAAATCTAAAGCACAACACAACATGCATATGCAAAGGCTATCAGGCTGCCGTGTTGTAATTTAACTCTTAAGTGATTGGGATTGAAACTTGAGTCATTAAGCAATAGGGTGATGAGTGCCCCAGAAAGGCATGTAGGAGTAAATGAGAGTAGGTTGTGGGAAGGAGGTGCCATGGAGAGAATGCTTGTCTTATGGAACCCTTCATTTTTAATGGAATCTTCTTGAAAAGCATTTTTATTTTTGAAGCTTAAGGCTTGTTTTTAGCTTACATTGATTTTTTTTTGTTTCAATCTCCTGATTATGTTTTCAAGTGTGTCTGTAATTCAAAAGAATGAAATATTTCTTTAATATAGAATATTTTGGGATTATTTTTTATGCTGCTTGACTGCTGTGTTTTATTTTGTTTTTGAGAGATTTCTGATTTCCTGCTTTCTGTCTCTCTGTGTACACTCGCCAGAGACACAGAGACACAGAAAGCAAGAAATCACCCCCTCCAGGTTGGATGGCCATGCCACAATCCCTTCTCCTGCAATCTCCTCTGGGATTTTTGGGCATGCACACACATGCTCCCAGCATAAGTTTTAAACTGCCAGGTCTGTGACTTGACCCATGTTCGGCTATGTAGGACTCCAGCAATGTAACCATTACCCATCCACTGGTCCCGCTGCCATGCTTTATTTTCACTTAAATTTGAGTTTATGCTAGCCCCTCTTTCAGAGGGGTAATTAATTCTGATTATGCTTTAAGTTATACAACTTTTAATTATAATTCATTGTGTGTGTGTGTGTGTGCATACACAGTTGACTTTTGAAGAACATGCACCGGAACTGCACAAGACCACTTATACACAGATTTGTTTCAATAAATATATTGGACAATACAGTACAGTACTGTAAATGTCTTTTTCTTTTGGTTTTCTTAATAGTTTCTTTTCTCTAGCTTACCTTTCTGTAAAGATATAGTATACAAAATATATAGTGTACAAAATATTTGTTAATCAACTGTTTATGTCATCACTAAGGCTTAGATCAACAGGAGGCTGTTGGTTGTCTGTGGAGTCAGAAGTTATACCTAGCGTCTCTATCCCCTGCGCTGTTTATGGGTCAGCTGTAGTTTTCATACAGGGCTTTCAAAAACATCTCTGCATTTTGCTTTCTAGACTGATTTTGCACGATTTAGTGGAACAAATGTGGAAACTGATTTTGTAGAGGTACCATCACAAATGCTTGAAAATTGGGTGTGGGACATTGATTCCCTCCGAAAATTATCGAAACATTACAAAGATGGAAGCCCTATTTCAGATGATCTGCTTGAAAAACTTGTTGCTTCTAGACTGGTCAACACAGGTATGACTTGTAATTTTCTTTTTTCCTTTTAGAGGTGTTTTGTTTTTGTTTTGTTTTGTTTTGCTATAGGGCATGTACACTCAAGACAGAGAGACAGAAAGCAAGACATCACCTCCCTCACCCCAAAGAGGATGGCCGTGGTGCATCCCTTCTCCTCCATTCTCCTCTCGGGATTTTGGGCACACATGCACACACACCCAGTGTGAGTTTTCAGCCACTGAGTCCAGAACTTGAACCATGGTTGACCACGTGGGAGTCCAGCGATGTGACCATTACACCATCTGCTGGTCCCTGACTTGTAATTTTGAAAAAAAAAAAAGAAGAAGAAGAATCACTTTATACAGGATTGCCAATACCTTCTTCATAGAAATTATTTTTCCTTTAATAACATTGGGCCCCCAGAAGTGCTGAAGCAAAGAGGAAGAATGCTAAATATATTGGAATAGGAACCATGAGATTGTGTCTAAGAGGAAAAATCTTCTTTTAAATCTTAATGAGATGTCTTGCTCCTATTTTGTGATAAGTTCTATTGGAATCTGTTTTTGAAATCTTGTATCTTGTTGACGTTGGAACATACAGTTCTTTCCTCTCTAAAACATGCTCAAACATTCTTGTGTTATTAGGTCTTCTAACTCTACGCCAGATTGTTTTGAGCAAAGTTGATCAGTCTCTCCATACCAACCCATCACTAGATGCTGCAAGTGAATATGCCAAGTATTGCACAGAAATTTTAGGTGTTGCAGCTACTCCAGGTATGTAAATGCCATGACTTGAGCTCATGTGTCCTGTGAAGCCCGGGGCTGCTCCTAACACCGCAGGAGAGGAGGAGTTAGTCGGGCGGATCACCTCGTTTTCTTTGTGTCTGATTTCTGTAATCAGGCCATGACTTTCACATAAGCATACTGTGTACTTGTATGAGTTGTCCTGTGCAAATGTGCTTGAAGGAAAGGTGGCTCCAGATTCATAGCACTTTAGCGTAGTCAGGCGTGAGCAATTGGCCTCCACCCCAGAGCCAAGAGAGCCATTCAGGTATGACAGCGCCCTCCCTGCCCCTCCCTCCCTGTGTGCACCATGATTTCCTTATGATGTTCTGTAAGAAGTTTACAGATTTTTAGACAGAAACCAAACCAAACTTCTACCTTGTTTCTGATTCTCATTCTATAGTCAATTAAAGCATTTTGCTAGCAGTGAGCTTGAAACTTGTGGGATTCGTGTGAGTGTGGGTGTGTTTATATGTATATTTTCTTTTAAGAATTATTGTTTATTTACTTTTATTTGTTGTTATTATTCTTTAATTTGACCAGAGAGAGACAAATGAAAAATGAGAAAACAAGCTGCCAGGTCTGGGATTCAAACCACAGTTGGCCATGTGGGAGTCCATCGCCTTAACCACTATGCCATCTGCTGGCCTCTATATGCATATATTTTAAGCTAACATATAGACATAAATTTATATGTAGTTGGTAAAGATTTTTTCCCACCAGTATAATTGTTCTTAAGATGAATCGGCCACATGTATAACAATGATAAAGATAAGAATGGTTAGTTGAGTAAATCCTTTGGTGATCTCTTTATAGTCAACCATAAAACAATTTTGAGCCTCAAGCCACTTTCACAAAATCTTTCTAGAGTAGCCCTGCAGGTGGATTGTATTAATATTAGTAAAGCCTTGTTCTCTTTTCAAGTAGAGTTCTTTTTCAATAATTATTAACTTAAAATAAGTACCATTCTGAGACATTTTAGGTATAAAGAAGTATGGCCAAGAGTAGAGTTAATATCACATTTTAAAGATACACAGGTTTCTAAGGGGTGAGAAAGGACTGTCTAAAGGTCTAAAACACTGAACTGTCTGGTGGGTGTGGACCAACCTCTGAAACTATTGTTGGGCATTCCAGAGCTTAGAGCCGAAACCAGCTCTGAGGTTGAGCCCTTAGCAGGAGAGGTTTGTAAACATCCGCCAAGGGAAGTACTGGAGGTGAGATCCTATCATCCACTGCCTCCTCCTGCAGTTGAGCTCCTCAGAGGGAAGCCTTAGCTAGTTGTTAGAACGTGATCATTAGCATTTGCTATCACACTGATTGAAATGTATCTCTTTTTTTTTTTAAGGCACAAATATGCCAGCTACTTTTGGACATTTGGCAGGGGGATACGATGGCCAATATTATGGATATCTTTGGAGTGAAGTCTTTTCCATGGACATGTTTTACAGCTGCTTTAAAAAAGAAGGGATAATGAATCCAGAGGTATTGTATTTTTTTCTTCCCTTTGTTGATTTTGTAGTTGTTTTCAACTTTTTAACTCCTGATGTAAAGTATTTATTACACCTAGATTTTAGAGTAAGCGGTCTGATGATACCTTTAAACTTGAAGGCCTTCATCTTCTCACATCATCATATATCATTAAGTTGCAGTGTACACGTGATTAATTCTGTATTTTGTTCTTTTTTTAAACCTACATTTTCTTGCTTATTAGCATGCCAATAGATTCCATAATTAAAAATTCAAAGCTTTGTTTATGCATCTGAGAATTTATAGCTGCTAGTTTAGACATGTGCCATACACGGGTTTACTTTTATAAGAGGTTGAGAAAGAAAGGTAAACTCCTCCTTCCTGATGTGAACGGTCTCCCTATGTTTGGGCACTCTTGCCACACTGCTTTCTGTTGGAGGCACCCTTTTTCTGTGGCTGACATACCCCACCTACTACGTGGCTTGTAACCCAAACGCCTTGAAGTAACCTAAGCTGCCTCATGAACCTGAGCCGTACCTTTCCGTGTATGTACAGTGAATTGACTGCCAGGTGGCGGCCTGCCAAACCTTCCTGAGTTACAGCCCCTGCCCCCACCCTTGTTGAAGACTCAGCTGTTAGACGATTTCTAAGGCCGATGAACTGTTCGGTATATTTTTAAATTACAGTCAATTCAGAAGTTAGGACAAAATTTTCAAAATCAGGTTCTCTGCTTATTTCAGCCAACTGATTTGTTCTCTGATCTGTTTCTGGATCGCACTGTGCCTTCCACATACACATTGAAATGCCTTGATGAGGCCAACAGGTGCTGTGATATTTAAGGTGCTGGACTCTAACATGGCTAGCCACAGTTTGAGTCCCAGACCCCACACCTTGAAAATCATGCCGGGCATGCATACATGTATGCCCAGGAAGAGAATGGAAGAGAAGGGATCATGGCATGACCATCCTCCTCGAGGGGTGATTTCTCACTTTCTCTCTCACTGTCTCTGGTGAACACATGTGCCCTATGGCAAAAAAAACCTTTAAAAAAATTTTGACATAATTTAGACCACCATTCCACCCCCAGCCTTTTCCCTAAAAATACCACCACCAGAGTACCTACATCCTACACTCACTGTCTCCCATCTCACCTTATCCTATCTGTTACCTGGTAACAGTTGACAGAGGTCAACTACTGACTGTTGTTCTCACCAATATCCTGACTTCCACATGACCTTCATAGCCCGTTTCTTCCACCGTCACTTACAGATGGTGCTCTGGAAATTCAGAGTGTTCTGGGAAGATTGTGTGTCTCCACTAACCTACCCTGCTTACATGGGCACCTTTTCCAACCTCAACTGGACACCTGGTGTTATTCTGTACTGTTGATCCGTTTCCCTTACCGAGTCCCTCAGTCCCCACCACCCCTCTCCTCTGTCAACAGATCATCTCTCCTCTTTATTAAGAAAATTAAGATTATTGGAAGTGAGTACCTTAATCTTTGTCTGTACTTCAGTATTTATCTTTTCTCTTCCTGTCTCACAGGAGATGTCCCTAACTCTAAGCCTTATGGTTTGCCATCTCGAAGGAAAAAACCTTGTTACCAACTCTGATAACACCATTCAATACTACTACTCTGGTCTTTTCACAGTCTAACCTTTTGGTGTAAGAAAAAAATCTTTGTTGGGGCCAGCAGGTGGCATGGTGGTTAAGGCACTGGATTCCCAGATAGCTGACCATGGTTCAAGTTCCAAACCCAGCAGCTTGAAACTCACCACAGGCACATGTGCATGAATGCCCAAAATCCCAAGAGGAGAATGGAAAAGGGATTGCAGTGTGGCCATCCCCCACCCCACCCGGGGTGGGTGGTTTCTCACTTTCTATCTGTCTGTCTCTCCAATAAGCACATGTGCCCTGTAACAAAAAAAAAAAAAAAAGAACAAATAAAGGGTCTTCACAGATTTCTCTTCACAGATTTCTCTGTCCTAACTTCTTTTTAATAGACCACAGATTAGTTTATTTTAACACCAATCATGCCATGATTTCATAGGGAATACGTTCCAGTAGCTCAGACTCCTTTCCATTGGTTCTCACAAAGTGTGCTTCTCTGGGTGGAGCAGGCTGGCACTTTAGTTGAACCCAGGTACCTTTCTCTTTGGCTTCTTTCTTTTTCTGGTTATTTTCCTTCACATGTTTTAGGAAGCTATCTCTGTTCTTAGAATGCTTCATATGCTCAATACGCACATTAATTCTCTTGGCAAGAATCTTACCCTTAACTTGTTTGTTCACAACAGTGCCAACAACATGCCGGGTAACATTGTAGACACTTATAGTTTGCCATGGTAACATTTGTGGGGCATTCCTTTTTGAACAGTACTCATCCCTTAATGTCTACGATATCACCTTTCTTGTAGACTCGCATATATGTTGCCAAAGGAACAACTCCATGTTTTCTAAAAGACCTAGAGAACATACATCGGGTGCCTCTCCTCTTTCCTTTTGTATTTGTCATTTTTGGTTAATTACTGGAAGATGGCGGTTCCGGCCAAAAGGCTTTGTCCTGACTTTTGTTCCCACCACCTGAACTGTACTTTTTATGGAGCTTTTACTTATTTTTACATGGATTATTTTAGAAATCAAGAAACGCTGTTTTAAACAGAGAACAAGTCTATATATGTAAAAGTACAAGTAGAAGTACAATTATGCCATCTTACTGGCTCTTAGTTGGTGAGGCTTCCTGGCCTTCCTCAGTCACCTCCTCTGTGGTGTATTCACATGACCATATCCCAGCACCCTCTACTGTTACCACTTCTCTGCCAGCTGTCAAGGTAGCAGCCAAATTGCTGATCCCAGTGGATTCCAACAAACTCGAAAGTCCAGCAGAAGCAATCCCTGCCGTTAGGCCTCTCTGTACTTCCTCTTATCCTCAAGCTCTGCGGCTTGGCAGACAGACCCGTACTACTCTTAATTCAGACAAAGGCAGCTTGGAGTTGTTTCCGTTTGATGTTAGAAACTATTTCAGCTGTTCTAAAATTCTGGCTTCAACAGTACTATATACTATTAGAAGTCTGATGCCATGAGGCTGGCCTTAATCTCTTACGTTCCACTTATTTTTCCTTCCCCATCAAATGCTCTGGAGTACTATGTACTTTCTTGCCCTCTTGCTGTTACAGCCCTGGGAGGAGGAGGCTCTCCAGGATCCAGGGAGAATTCCACCCTCACACCCTTCTCTGTAGTGACAGATCAGATACTAGAACCAGTGGTTTTTGTTTGTTTGTTTTTTAGTTATTTACTTAATTTTATTTATTATTATTGTTATTATTTAATTTGACCTGAGAGAGAGGAGGATGTGAGTGAAAAAGCAAGCCACCAGGTCTGGGACTCAAACTGCAGGTGACCGAGTGGAAGTCCAGTGCCTTAACTATCACACCACCTGCTAGCCCCAAAACTAGCATTTTTAAGAAGATATTAAGGCCAGCAGGTGTCATAGTGATTAAGGCACTAGACCGCCATATGGCCAACTGCAGTTTGAGTCCTAGATCAGGCAGCTTGAAATTCATACACTGGGCATATGTGCGTGCATGCCCAAAATCCCAAGAGGAAAAAGGGGGAGAAAGGATTGAGGTAGGGTCATCCCCCAGGGGGGGGGGGCGGTGATTTCTTGCTTTCTGTCTCTCTCTCTCTATGGCGATCACATGTGCCCTATAGCAAAAATCTCACAAAAAAAAATATTTTATTCCCTCCTACAGTGTACAGTTTGTTTGTTTGGGGGGAGGTTATATTTTTTCCATAAATATTTGTTCTACAATAATACCTACCTTTCAAAATTCAGATACTCTCTTATTAAAAATTAATACTTTGGGATGGTAATCCTATTCCTCAAAACACTTAGGATATTATCACAACTGTGTTGTGATGAATAGAAAAAGAAATCTCATTTCCAACAGATCAGACAGTATTACAGTATTTATTTTGGGCCATAAGCACAGGGTCGTGTTATTCGCTAGCATTGAAAAGATGGTGCTACCCTGGGTTGTTACTTATTCTGTGCATTTGCTTTAGTCTCACGTGTCAGTGCCTGGTCACTTCCTCAGGTATATAAACAGGATAAAAATGGGAGTTTTATGGCATGAGCTTATAGTGCTTGATTTGATCTGAGGTCATAGGAATCAGAGCAGTCAGTTTCTCCCGCAGACTGTATTCTCGAGGCCTCGCCCTCCGTGTCGTGTGTTTTTTTAGGAGACTGCAGGTGGCCCTTCAAGCTGTCAGTGCCTGCTGTTGTCAGTGGCCGAGGAGCGCTGGCAAGGCTGGGGTCTGACAGATCACGATTGTCGACATCATTGCTCACGCACTGCAGACGGCGTCTCCAGGCCCGCTCGCTGCTGTTGTTTCAGTACCACGAAGTCCAGGGTCTGCTCTGAGAACAGGTCTTAGCCAGCAGAACTGGAGTAAATGTGCTGCTCACTGAGGAAAGGGTAACAGGAAAGGCCAGATGCAAGCCTGCAGCCTTCTGAATGTCAGATGCTAGCAGTGGAATGTTTGATGGGATGGTGATTTTCATTGTTTTGAGGGTCTCTATCGAAGTACTAAAACTGACCACTAGGGACCAGCAGATGGGTAATGGTTACCTCGCTGGATTCCCATGTAATTGACTATGGTTTTAGTCCTGGACCCAGGGGCTTAAAACTCATGCCAGGTGCACATATGTATGTGCCCAAAATCCAGAGAGGAGACCGGAGGAGAAGAGACTACAGCATGGCCATGCCCCCGGCGGGGGGATTTCTCGCTTTCTGTCTCTCTGGCAAGTGCATATGCCCTATAGCAAAAAAATTTCTCAATTAAAAAAAAAAACCTGGCCACTTGCCCACAACAGCCTAAAAGTTTACTTCCTCTGCTTTTAACTGTAGTTTTTGTGTGTGTTTGTTTAATGTTTTTATTATTATTATTTCTTCTCTGAGAAAGGGAGACACAGAGAGAGGCACCGTCAATATTCTTCACACTGCAGTCTGCCCCCG